ATGCAATTTGTTCATTGTATTTCTTCCATGTTCTCTTTAGTGGTACCTGTGTCAGTATTACAGTAGGGTGATGTCTGCTTGGTCTTATAGATTATCCCTTTATAATTGTCTTTAAGAGAACAGTAAACACGGAGAGGAGAGCATATTTTGTTCTATTAGTTTACTAATATTATTTTCGCTTGGTTTCCTATTGAACTATATGTTGCCCCAACTCGTTTGTTACCATCCTCCACTTAGGTTCGAATTTTGTCTCTGTATTTTAAGAAGTTCGTCATAAAGCTCCTGTGCCAATGAGTTTATCCGACTCCTAGGGGCATGTCCACTTTGCGCATGTATTTTGGTTAACAGGTTCCATCCCTTCTCTCTCCCCCACTTTATTGGTAAATGAAAATCCTGAGCGCCAGTGACACGTGGTTCAAAGTCTCTGGATAATGAGCCCCGTCCTATATCCTTCTCTACTTAAATGCCAAGCTTTTATCTGTTGTAGGTTTGAACCTGTAATGTGTGCCTAACTAACATACCACACCCTGCATTCTTACCACTAAACCAAAGCACTGGGAGCCGACCGACTGCATGCCCTCCAATAATTGTGTTTACCAAAACAAAGTACCGGATCATATAAGTTTTAATGCATCCAACACTGTAAATCAAGATAAATCTATTATCCAAAGATAAGTATTGACTCTTCCAATTAATCAGCTTTTTCTCACACTTCTCTATGACTCCATTCCAGATATCTTTGGAATTGCTTTTGGCACCAAGGGGCATGCCAAGGTAAATGGTTGGCAGAAACACCAGTTCTTCCTCCCAGAATATTATTAGCCAAGTTGTGAATGTCAGGGACCTCATCAACGGGGATATAGAAAACTCTTGCTCCAGTTAATTTGGAGCCGAGATGTAGCTTCAAAAAGAATGATAATCACCCTCAAAAATCTTATTTGTCCTCTATCAGCTCCACAGAAAACTAAAGTATCATCGGCGTATAGTAAATGAGTGATTTCAAGGTTATTGACGGCCCTTGAATCGACTCTAAAACCTGTTAGCCAGCTATTTTTTTGGGCAGTCTTCATCATAACTCCATGGCAATGATTAATAAAAAGGGGGAGCCTTAGTCCTCTCTGAGAAGAGAAGAATCCAGTGGGTGAGGCATTGACTAGGATTGAGAACTTGATGGTGCTGATGCAATAGCTGATCCAGTTGACCCATTTTTCTCCAAAACCCATTTTCATCATAGTCTTAGTAGGAAATTCCAGTTCAAGTGGTCAAAAGTCTTTTGTATAGCTAGCTTGCAAAGGACACCAGGTTCTTTTTGTTTCTGATTGTTGAGCCAACACATTCATTGGCTATAAGAATGGCATCCATGATCTGTCTCCCTTTTATACAGGCCATTTGTTGATCATCCACCAGCTTGTGCATCACTTTTTTGAGTCTCTCATCAACAATTTTTAGATAATCTTGTAAATGCTGCCTATACGACTAATATGCCTGAAAATTTTCAATTCTTTAGCTCTCACCTTCTTGGAATCAACACAACATATGTAGCATTGAAACTTCTTTCAGATATGTCTCTTTCGTGGAAGTTTTGAATAGTAGGAATGACCTCCGTATTCACTACTTCCAACAGTGTTTGAAAAAAGCCATTGTGAAACCATTCTGGGCCAGGTGCTTTATCCCCTGCACACTCTAGGACACTGGACCATATCTCTTGCTCTTCAAATGGACTTTGTAGCATCAGATTATCTTGTGGAAGATTTGGATCATCTTTACTGAATTTGAACATCTTTAGAAGCTTGGATTTTAACTTCGTACAGCTGAAGTTTGGAGAAACAACTATTGGGGCTGTGTTTAAGTGGTGGGTTTGGACTATATTGCACTTACATATTTGGGTGTGAGTGCATGAGAGAGAGAGAGGGAGGATCAGTTGTGGAGGGATGGGGAAGCGAGAAGAACTCTATTTTTAGTGTTGCTAATAATATTAAAGCTGTTCTTGATTATATTTCTTGGAAGTGTTGGTTTTGCAAGTACGATCTCTTCTGTTGACCGTTTGGTGCTGGTAGAGGATTTCCTTGTCGGCTAAGTCACATGAAGCAATAGTCCTGCCGTTTCTGTAGAGTTTCTCGTCCGAAGAAAATGTGCATCCTTCTTTCAATAGTTCGTACTTAATTTACTCAAATTGAATGGTCTAGAGTAGACTGAAAAATGATTATTGAATTAATAATGTTCAGACAAATTGAAAGGTTCATAAAGACTATCTATGCTGCTGATAGCTTAAGCTGCAAACCATGGAAATCAGGTAATCTATAATTTCCATGATGCACTTAGTTACAGATAAAATAAAAATCTGATGAAATAGTGTTAGTATGATCTGGGCCAGATTTTCGGTGAGAACCTATTTCTTCATATTGACTGCAATAATGTGTTGTAAACAGGTGTGCGTTTGGGGGTAGAAACCCAAAGGAAAAAGTTGGAAAAAAATGTGGCAGAAATTTTTAGCAGGGTATAGATTTCCCACGTGAACGAGTTAGGTTTTAAGCAGAAAAACCAAATGACACAAACAACACCTTCATTTTGTTTCTTAAAATCATTTCAAGGTTGATGTTGCATGCTCTTCCTTTGACTGCTTTGTTATTGTCAACTTTTTTGCATGTACGCTTGTGTTCAGGCCAAATTGAAAGGAGATTTATTGAGGTACCATTTGGTGCTACCTGGGTGGAGGCCACCATGAGGACATATGGGTTTGATACGGCTAGAAGATTCTTCATAGATACTGTTCAGGTAAAATATCTCGTGATTTATCGGGTCGTTCTGATGTAAAGTTACCTCAATCACGTGCTCGTAATCTACAGCTCTCCCCATTGCAAAGGCCCATTAAGTGGGAAAGCGTGGCCACATTTTCATCACCTTCATCCAAAAACTTTGTGTTTCGAGTGGAGGGTGGTCAGACAATGGAACTAGCAATAGCCCAATTTTGGTCCAGCGGCATAGGCAGTCATGAAACAACTATTGTTGATTTTGAGGTAGTTATTTTCGAGTATGACATAAAAGAAATTGGTTCTTAACTTCTTATATTTATATTTCTGTTCTGAATTATTAAATTTCGATGACCAAAGGATTGTCGTAGGAGGCATGCTGTTGTTCTTTTCTTCTTTTTACCCTATACGTTTTTGTTCTTTTTTTTTCTTGGACCAACATTTCCAGTCTTATGAAAGGGATTTTGAACAATTAAAGTTGTTCACACCCTCCTTTTGGTTCTGGAGAGACTCTTAATGTGGAGTCCTGCCATTTGAATTGTGTAAGGTCAGTTTGCTGACTTGTCAAGAGGATTGAGTTCTGTTAATGAAGGAAAACGGTTAAAAAGTTGAAGTACCATAAATTCTTTCTATCTTAATTTATGTAAAGAGTTTGAAATAATTGCACAGAGTAACTGTTCATTGAATTGTGTTCCCTAGTCGTGCATCTTATATGTAGCAAAATGTAAGAGTAGTTGGTATAGCAATTTAAAATTTCTTGTATAATCCAGAAGGCTGAATTCTTACTTGTTGCCTTCTCCATTAAGAAGGATAGCATAGATGCACAGCAAACATAGCACTGTCTTCTTAAAATGGTATTTATGTTTCAAACGCGGCCATCCTCTCCTGAAGGTAATTATGTTGTTTTGATTAAAATTTCCATCCCCCTCCTGGACAATCCAATCCTCAGGAGTTTCTGGAAGAGAACAGGTGCTTGGAAGTAGTGTTCAGGAAAGCTAGCGCTTCATCCGCTTTAATCGTCGAAGCGAGGGTCAGCGCTTCAGTTGGCTGAAGCGAGGCATGTAAAAAGAAGTGACCGCTTCTGGACTTGAAGCGCGATGCGACCAGAAGTGCTGAATTGAGAAAAACAACGCTTTTATTTTTTCAAAATAAGTGATCAATTTCAAAGAATAAAAATAGGGATGACTTACCTAGTTCTTCTTCTTCTTCTTACTACTACTTCTACTGCAACTACCTAGGATTTTTCTTCTTTTTTCCACTTTGTTCGTAATTTTGTTTTCGTTGTCTTGTTAGCTTTGATTATTTAAATTATATGTTGCTTAATTTTTTTCCTCACAGTGATTAAAATATACAGCGCTAAATTGTTTTATTTCTTAACAATGACTAAAATGTTCTTGAATTTTTTCTTGATAGTGATAAAAATATAATGTTTGATTAGTTTTCTTATATCTTATCTGCGATAAAAATGGCTGACCCAAGATGAAAATGTGGGAAAAAAGTTAGTGTCTCAATCGACAAAAAAGAAGAGTAACCTCCTTAGAACCTGGCAAAGTCATTATTAATGTGAGTGAGACTCCATCTCTATCCCTAGATGACTGCTTAAACTAGGCTCCACTTTTGAGATAGGTTCTTGGTCTTGATCAAAATAGGTCAAGGGCGCGTTGGAACGATCGGGGTCTTTCGATTCGAAAAAATGTGGTGCGGGTTCATCTCTCTCGACCAGTTCAGGTGAGAGGGAGGATGTAATTCAGCTCGACCTACAGGGAGAGGGAGGGTGATCGAGGGGACCAGGCTTTCGATCTCTTCTCTATGGCGGGAGGTTTCTTTCGTATCTCGCCTCTTTGTTGGACCGTCGGCGCAGTGGTCTCTGACTTGGACCAGGAACCAATTCGAAATTGGATCTTCACATGTCGGTGGTTTTTAGCCGTAGGCATTTTACCAGGAAGTTGGTGGTCCTATCATGAATTAGGTCGGGGTGGCTGGTGGTTTAGAGATCCTGTAGAAAATGCTTGAGGAGGAGGTCAATTTTAAGTGTTGGAAGCTACTGCAAAGGGACTCTCCCTCATCTAGAAATGATTAGCAATTGAGAGAGAATAGGGCGATAGCGATAGACACAGGAACTAAGAAAAAATTCCCCGATATAATAAAGAAAGGAAGAATGGTTCCAAACCATTGAAACATAAAGCACTAAAGACTGATAAGACGTGGCAGAAATTAGAAGTGAGAAGCTGATCCTTGTTTGGTCATAAGGATAATAATTCTTCTTACGTCAGGGGCGGCCAGACCGGGGGTTAACCGCGATTGGTAATGGCCCCATCGAGAAATAGAACTTACTAATCCTAAGTCAAAGGGTCGAGAAACTCAAGGGGGAAACCTTTTTTCTAGTTTTTTAATATGAATTTTTGCTTATGACTTGTCTATTTATTTTGATCTTTTTTCTTTTAAATTGTGCTGCACTTCAATGAGGCGAACGCTTAGCCTCATGCTTCGCCTCACACGCTTCGCTTAAAACATGAAGTGGGGCGTTGTCGCTTTTTACCGCTTCGCGCTCCCCTAAACACTGCTTGGAAGAATTTTATGCTTTGCTGCTTGAATATATTAGGAGACAAATGAGACAGCGATAATGCCTTTGCTTGGGTCTTTGGTTGAAATTCTCAGATTGCATTCCGTGGTATAAAGATCAGCAAAGAGGAAGTAGTTCTTGATGGAAGCGAAGCACCTGTGAGGATTGATGCTGAAGCTCTTCTGTCAACTGAAAAACTTGTCCCTTCTGCTGTGCTCAACAAGGTCAAATTTTTCTTTAACTTTTGGATGTTAGCCACTTTGATTGACTTCCTCAGGCGGGTGAAATACTTACATGATCTCTTTTTCCGGTTGTAATATGATTTCAGATAAGAGTTCCGTATCGTCC